CCGATTTCCACAGTACAGTTTTCATCTGATTTTACAGTCAGCATTATTTCAAGCCTATTACATTTGTAACAGGAGACAAATACAGTACCATTAATTTAATTTTATTTACATTTCAGAGTCATTTAGATGGAATAAATTGAACCGAAGTTGATTGAAACTGTCCTGCAGGACTGACTTTAAGCACATTCAGACAGAAAGTGCATTATAAATAATGGCAGCATTTAGTACACAAAAGACACTCACTTGGACTGAAGGATTTGCAGGAGTCATTAGCAGATGAGGGAGAGTAAGCATTGCCAAGAATAGAGCCATGCTGAACTCTTTTGCCCTGGAGACCACTTTCAGCTGCAGGCCTGTTTAGCAGAGGCCTTGCTTCAGAAGTGTTGACCCTCCATCTACTGTTCTGCCTCATATACATGGCTGTTGCTGTGGTTTATACCAACATAGGTGTTTTCTTAGCACAGTGACATTAAGATTCTGGTAAACTACTCAAGACAGCCCCAGTATAAATGGAATGAAGGAACATAACGATTATTTACATAGTACTAGCATCTAGAAACCATAGACCTGCACAACTGTGCTGGACACAATATAGAACAAAAAGATAATTCCTGCATCAACGAGTTTACAATCTATGCAGAATACAAAAGAAAACAGACATATACAGATGGAACGAGAAGGACAAGGAAACACTGAGCTCATGTTACCTAAGATAACATGTGGGAGTCTTAAGCATATCACTAGACTAATCAGTGTCATTTTTTTTCTATTGCACAGGAAAACTAAAAGCTAGTAAGGTTCCCTTGGTTTCTTCCTATTCAGGAGAACCTTACCAGCTTTAAATTCTCCTGTGCAATATGAAGTTTCATTTCTACGTGGGAGAAATTTTAAAATCTTTGAATTCTCCTTTGCCTGATGAAGGGTGTTTGGGCCCAAAAGCATGCAAATAAAAAAGACAAAATTTGCAACTACCTAGTTGGTCTAGTAAAAGTTATCACCTCTACCCCAAGAGTTTGTCTGCCTATGCTTCTACACAAGGGGTGGGCAGAATGCAGCCCGGGGCCAGATAAGGCCCACCAGGACATTCTATCTGGCCCACAGGGCCCTTAAAAAATTTAGAAAATTAATATTTATCTGCCCTGGGCTGCCTGTCATGCGGCCCACAATGGCTTGCCAAAACTCAGTAAGCGGCCCTTTGCCCAAAATAATTGCCTGCCCCTGCTCTACACCGACACGGCGACAGCAAATATCCCATAAAAAGAGATGGATGCTTTTCTACCGCCCTAGATACTTACACAATCCTTGTTTCAGCAATATCAAAGCACCTCTCGGGCACATGCCTGAATTTATCTGCACAGCTGCCTTTGTGATAGACAAACCTATAATCTCCATGTACACATAGGGAACCAAAGCACAGAGACAACCAGAGGCTTGTCCAAGGTGGCAGGGCTGGGAATTTGAACCCAAGTCTCTTTACTCTCAGTCTAGCACCTTAACCACAGGATCATAGCAAGTTGCTGGCCTGCTGCCCAAGCCCTACAAGGGCTCTTTGTTAAGCGCTCACTAATCAACTGTTGTATTCTTCCAACATAAGAACTTATGCAAAAAATGAAACAAACAGTTCCCCTCCTCCCCACCTCCTACCCTGGGCTGCCACACCTTGGTCTTCAATCTATGGCAGGAAACTATCTCCCTTCTGCAGCTTCTCAGCAATTTGTAGAGAATACCTGACCATTTTCTACCTAAGTCTGGTAAGTATACAGGGTTGCCTGCCCAAGGCTCTCTGGCCTTTAAAGGAGTAGCCTGCCATATTACAATGAGCCATCCTCTTTTTGATGGGAATGGAAACCAATATCCCAGCCAAGTAAGTCTATGAAGTGTTTTCCTCTTCTCTGGCCTGGATTTGTTTGGATCCAGCTGCTTGTCATCTGGCAGCTAATTTCCTGTAGGCATTGATGTGCAAATACTGGAGTCTGTGGAGAATGGCATAAACTTCTGGATACTGTTGCATGTCATTGGCAGTGGAGCTCAGTGGCATCTCATCACTTCTTCAGTTGGTCTTATTTAAATATTAAAAAGAGGAAGGGAACCAGAGGGATTGCCGTAGGACCTGACAGTTTCCAGGTAAGGGTACTGCTGTCTGTGGGGCTTGTTGATTGGAGCAATCAGTCAATAGGTAGTCTCATTGTAAGTTAGGATTGCTCATTTCTAGACCTAGCACAGAAAGGAGTTGTGGGGGGGCTACCAGAAGAAGGTCTTTTTTGTGTTATTAGGGTTATCTCTGCTCTGTCCCAGTTAAAGCCTGATTATGAAGAGCAGGAACAGCTACATGTTATCAGAACAATAATCTATGGAATCTAATAATCTCCCTGCCAGTAAAATCCTACAGATAAAATGCAAAAAACCAGTAATGGACAATTAGGGAAAAACTTGCTATTTGGGCAAGTGACTGGATTAGGTCCTAAAGCCTGATGGGCTTATATACTTTTATAACAAAGTGTTATATTCTGTTCAGTGAGAGCATCCACAATGACATTAACATATGTCTGTCTAATCTTACTTTTTTCTTTGAATCTCTTCATTTTCAATTTTTTCTTATGGGAATGAGTTAATTAAACATTGGGCACATCTACTTGTTCATTAATGTGCTGTAATTATGATGCAATAAGTTTAGTACCTGTAAGAACAGGTACTAACTTAATGTGCTGTAATCAGCCCTACTGCACATTAGTGTAGATGAACATTTTTTGTGTGACACTTAATGCCCATTGGACTAATCTACTGCACATTAGCACAGTTTTTGCCAGCCACACTAATGTGCAGTAGAATTAGCCCAGTGGGCATTAAGCATCTTGTGTAGATGCACCCATTGTATACATACAAACTTTCTTTTCACCAATGTTAAATTTGTGGCTTTTCATTCTCGCTGAATGTCCCTTTGTCCTTATATTATGAGATGGTAAATAGGAACCTCAAATTTTCCTTTTCTCTCCTGTTCAGTCCTTCATATGCTTCTATCATGACCCTACTTATTCATTTCCTCTTTCAAGTAAGCTGTTCTATTTTTTCTGCCTTTTCTCACACACGTGTCTTTTTGTAACTCTAATAACTTTTACCACCTGAATCTGAAAGCCCTCTATTTGTGCTGAATCCTTTATGAATCAGAATGACCAGAAGTGAACTCATTATTCCAGGTGACTCTGTGCCATACATCTATATGCTGGCATTATCACAGTTTCAGCAGTTTCTGTCCCATTCTTTATGTCTACTAACATTATGTGCTTTTTTGACTATATTGGGTAGAGGTCTTTGTTGAACAATCTATAATGATGCCCTGGTCTCCTTCCTGAGTGGTTTATAGTTAAATTAGAACTTACTTGCAACTGAGAAGAAATTTAAACTACTAATATACATTGTCTTTGGTCTGCCAATAGTAGAAGCCAAATTCTGCTACACTTTATACACCCACAGGGCAACCTTTCAGCCATGCAAGTGGCATTTTGAGCATTTATACAGGGTTTGTGACTCTCTGATGCATGCCATGTGGATGTTTATGCATTCAGATGGCTACTGAGCATCTGCAGCAAGTTATACACTGGCTGGGCAGGTGTGTGGCTATGTGCACACATATGCTAGGAGTGTGTAAGTTGCAAAATTTTACCTGGGAAAATTCCACAACTAGCAGATGTTAGATGCAAGAGGATGACAAGGAGGGTTCCCTTTCCATATTTTAGCCCCAGTAGCTTAGTCACTGAGGCACTCTCTCAAGAAGCAGAAGACCCAGGTTCTAGGCACCCTACTATGAAGCGAACCTAGAACCTATATCTCCTGTTTCCTGGGAGAGTGCTCTAACCACTCCGCTGCTAGATCTAAAATACTGGGGGGACTTCCTCCTTGTTTTTTCAGGACTTAAGAGCAGGTGTGTGTGTACATAATCACATTCCTGCATAGCCAAACATGCATGCTCAGTATCCATGTGGATGCTTCTGCATCTACACTGCATAGGTACCAGTAATAGAATCACACACTGTACGTAAGTGTCAAAAAATGCTACTTACATGGCTAGAAAAACAGCCTTTAGCTGAGTAAAGTGACAGACTGAGATGTCTTCTCCCATCATGTTGCCCATTCACATGGGTTTGTTAGGTCCCTCACATCCTTCTCTAGATTTGACTAACTTCTACATTTGTGTCAGAAAGAAGTATTGCCTCCTCACTCTCCTTTTCCTTTTCTAAATCATTAAACATTGGCCATAGTATGGTATGTTGAGGCAACGCACTGATAAACTTGTATCATATTATTTACTCTCTGTTCCCATCTCCTAGCCAATTTCTGATATCTAGCCTCACTTTGCTTCTCTCTCCATAGCTACTTAGTTTCTATAACAGCTTCTTGCTGGGGGATTCTATCATGTTTTTTCAAAAATCCTGATTACTTTTGACATTGCTCTCATCCCTCTACCACCAGCTTTCTTCCTGTGCTACCTTTCTGAGAGTCATAGTATTAAAGTCTAGTCCTTACCTCAAAGTAGAGAACCAGAACGGTGCAGAATATAGAACTGTGGAAGGGCTGGCTTCAATACAAACTTTCCTCTGGCTCCCACACAAACTTCATAATATTGATTTTTTTCAGGGCTTGTTCAAGAAGCCAAACAACCTTTTCATTGAACCAAGTCATAAGCTGATCACAAGCCAAAGATGAGCCCCCTCTGCAGCTTTCCAAACCATTACAGAGGCATTTGTTGCACGTGTCTTTATTTCTATGGTTTTAATCTGCAGTGTGCTGACAACCTCAGAAAGATCCCTCTTAATGGACTTTAATAGCAATGCAGCACTAAACTTATATAGCACCTGCCACACCAAGGCATCCCAGCAGACTTTCCAAATAATAGAGTTTAAAGCTTCTGCTTTCACGAGCCAAAGGCAAAGCTCAAGAGGACAAAATTAAGTTTGGGTTTTAAAACATTGACAGGCTTGGCATTATTAATTTCAAAAGGGGAATTCATCACTGCTGGAGAGGATTGTAGAGAAGAAACTGGGGGAGGATTAACAGAGAAAGCACTGAATCAACTTGTAACCACACTCCCTGATTGGAACTGTTCAAACCCCAATGACAAACCACCTACATTTAGCTGCCGCATGTTTACAAACAGCTTAACCTGATACAATTAAAACAAGTCACTCAGGAAAGAGACAGCCACTAGGGCTATAAGGACACTTTGGACTTTCACCCAGCATTTTCATGCAAGCATTATACTGAGATTAATGAGTTAAGCCTCTCTCTTCCCTTTCCCCTCCAAAGAAAAAGTATTATTATTATACCCATTCCACATAGTGCAAAACTGAGGGATAAAAAGATTAAGTGGCTTTTACCGTCAGTGGAATAGGTGTTCTGGTTCTCAGTTTCTAACCATCAGACAGCAAAGCCTTCCTAAATGCCAAGAGTCAATATATCATACATCTGATTTTCATCTCACTTATGCCTCAATCCTGCAAACACTTATGCTTAATATGTTACAGTGAATAGTCCCATTAAGCACATGCATAAGTTTTTGGAGGATCACAAAGTAAGGTAGTTAGCCATATTAGTCTGAAGTTAGGAAAAAGTCTGAAGCTAGCCTGAAGTCGTAGAATTTGACAAAGTAGGCTGTCGCCTATGAAACCTAGACCTATGAAACCTAACTCTAACTGAGTTAGTCTCTAGAGTGTCTTTGCACATGCTCAGGGACGGAGAGGGGTACACTTTAATTAGAATGGCTCCAAGAGCCATTTTAATTAAAGCATCCAGTGTCATGTGTATTCAGCATCCTGTGCTTCTAAATGGCAACAGGGGCACTTTAACTAAAGCTCATTTGACAAACTTTAGTTAAAGTGCCCCCACAGACATTTTGAAGCAGGGGCATGCTGAATACATGTGATGCTAAGCTAATTAGCATGCTCCAGCCAACTCAATTAGTTAAGCTAATTAGCAGATGTCTGGCACGTGTATAGGTGCCCTAATGCTTCCCTGCCCTGCCTTCAGCCTTATACTAATGCACATCAAGAAAAATTCCTTTTAAATTAATGGGATCCTGCCATTTTAAAACCCCCAGAAGAAGAATCAGGTCTCATGCTTCCTAAATTGTCTGATCTTACAGCAGTTAATAAAACAAATCTGAAAGATAATGCCATTTGAACTGAGGACATCAGCAGATGCTGACATTTTCAAGTCTTTGCAGACACATTGAACAACAGTCCCTAGTAAGAGATTTTACCATTGATTGTAAGAGTCTCTAGTAAGAGATTTTAGTAAGAAATGTTACCTTTGACAAAGAGAATTTACATCTGACAAAGTAAGAGACAAAGACAAAAGATTTTGTTTTTGCTATGAGAAGCTGCTGCTGGATATGGCTGCAGCATGCAAAATATCTCCCATTCTCCTCTGTCTGGGGGTGTTGGAAATATGGCCTGCAATTTTTGAGCTATGCAGTTTGTACATAGCCTTAGGGTCAGTATCTTTGAAGGTTAAATTGATTGTCCAAATGACCACTGGTATCTTGTCAGACCAAAGTGACTTTTTACAGGTATAATAAGCCAGCAGGCCCAATCAGTGCATCAAGCTACAGTTCCCACATGAATCATTCAGTTTTCCATTTTTTTATCTGACCTCATTATTCAGATTCAGATTGCATGAGTACCTGCAAACTACAGATAGGGTGAAAAACTGAGTTACAATTAAAGTATTTTCCTTTCCTACTTCAGCAGTGTGGAGACTGGGCAACACCTTGAGAGGCTCTCTATGGCAGAGGACTCCCCTGAGATATGACTGTGTGCCTAGTGAGGTGGGGATCTTGCCATAGGGATGTGCAGCCCCTGAGCAATAGGAAGCTGAGGCAACCATCCACCCTGCCCTCCCTATAGCCCTTCCTGTATCTTCACAGCTACCTTCTTTAACTTACCATCTTTAATTTTAAAAGCCTTTCTGGGTATTCTGTCTCAGAGCCTTTATCTTCTACTACTACCTCCTGTACTCACTTTGCTTCTGTGGCACCATTCTCTTTGTTATCCCTACACTTAATCCAGAGCTGTCCAACTTGCAGCCCCTGGGCTCCCACCTGGCCACCACTGCCCCTGTTACCCTGGTTGCAGCAGCAGCCAGGGGCTCAGCACTCCCTCTTCCTCCCCTGACTTTCGCTGCATGTCTCCACCTTGGTGGAGCTGGCAGCATGGAGCACCCGTGCAGTGGGGTGCCACAGGGGAGCCTGTAGGGAGCAAAAGGTGAGGCAGGGCACTGTGTGGGGGAGCATCCACCTATGTGCATGTGCTGTGCAGTGGGGTGGCAAGAGCACCATCTGTGTGAACGGTGCAGCAGGGGAGGGAACACCCAGTGTGAAGCGTGCAACCTGGGAAGCTCATGGCTCCTGCTAGTGCTGTCCCTGAAAAATGCATCCCCCACTGATACAGCCTATGGAGCATGTGGTCCCTGGCCAATTTGAGCTTGGACAGCCCTAATTTAATCTCTTCTGCAGCTATTACCATCTAGTTCCTTCACCTCTTTTGATTGTCCAGGTACTTTCAAATCTCAGCTGAGGATACTCTTTTCCTCACCTGCCTATCCCTCTTACTTTTTCTCTTTCTCCTTTTAGGGCAAGTAATTATTTTACTGTGTGTGAAGTATTTTGGGATATCTTGTGTTGAAAGACAATGTAGGAAATAAAGTTGGAAGCCAGCGGGGTGATGGAATGAAACAACACACAGGCAAAGGCGACAAAGGCTCCTCCAAAAGAGGTTATTTATAACTAGGATCAAATGGGCTACTATGAGACAAAACAAAACTCTTTTTGGGGCTCAAATCAGTTCTATGTTCCACTTACGGAGCCTACTCTTTCCAGGAACGTAGGTTGTAGCCGTGGTGGTCTAAGGATACAGGCAGACAAGGTTCCTTGGGTGAATCTGATATCTTTTACTAGACCAACCTAAATAGTTGGGGGAAAAAATTAGCAAGCTTTTGGGTTTAAAGTCCCTTCATCAGGCTGAGGAAGCACTCTTTCTGGAAGACATTTACTCCCTCAGGGTTAATAACATGTTAATAATGGTAAAATCTATGTCAGCTTTGTACACCCTGTAAATTACATCAGGATCCAGATAGGGCCAATGACCAGATTATCAGCTGCAACAGGTGCTATTGCAGCCGTTAATGCTAGGTAGCAGAGGAACATGTGGTAGCATTGAGCAAAGTGCTATCCTGGGATAATCGCAAACACAGGACACTTAGACCACAGCAGTTTTGCTGCTGTGTTTTCCAGGAGTAACTCTACACCAGGTTATAGTAAGTTACATGGGTATAGAAGTTCATATCATGTGGCCATTTCTTTTTTATGCCAGTGTAAACAATTTGTGTCCAGGCACTCAGTCTCCCTACAGCCCTCTTACAGCCCTTTGAGCACCTATGTGAGGGAAAAAGGAGGCAGAGCTCAGATAAACTGCTTATTGGCTGGAGACTTGGCAGTGCTCCCCCTCCAGATTTGTTTTCAGTGTATCACGCTGCTGTGACTTGGTTTCACCTACAGACATACTATCTGATTCCGAGGAATTCAGATTGCTGATGCCCTCATATTTTACAAAAATTATGGGGTTTCAGAAGAATGTCCCTGGGGGAATCAGATGGTATTTACTACAGATCCAATTCTGCCATACTCACTTTATGAGGATGTAGGAATGAAGTCGGCGGGACTTTTCTTTGTGTCAGGTATTTGTGTCAGCACAAATAAAGGTTTCAGAATCATACCCTGGATAGGAATTATTAGCTCACTTGCAACTTCGGTTCCCCTCAGCATTTTGATATAAAAGTAATGAAGGGATGTGGTGTTATAAGCATTCAAGCAGTACTGAGACCCAGCACAGATGATGGGGCTCCCTTAGTGGCAAACCTTGGTTTGTATGCCATCCTGCAGGGGCAGAAGAAGGAACAAGAAAGGGCAATGATGAAGGTTAAGCAAGATTCACACCACCCCATCACCACTTCCAAAGCAGGTGCAAACAGCCAGAGAGAACAGCTGATGAGTACAGGCCATATCAAGGGAAATCAGCCTATTGTAGATCTTCAGCACTTGCAATGAGCTCCCTTATAGAAGGATCAGACAACAGAAGGAATGAAGTGGACTCAGAGGTACCCAGTAGGGTTGACACATCTTGCAGGCTGGCTGTACTTGAGAGACGGTGCCAGCTGTCTGTTTGTGCAGATAGTTTAGCCTGTGAGCTGGGAAGCAGCCTGTACCTTAGGAGCTGAAGGAGGGAATATTCCCTCTCAGATTCTGCAGGGACAATATGAAACATTTTCAAGATTATTTGCCCCAGGGTGCTACATGAAGTGAGGATAAAGGATGTTTAGAGAAGAAGATGCTTTCTTGCTTTGCCCTCATATTTTAGTAGTTGTATACATACTGGGGAACATAATGATTATACATGTCTCATTAAAAGTTAAGTATCCATAGCATCCATTTGGTAACACTTATTGAATAATTCTCCTATTTTCCCCCTGTTGCTGGGGCTGTTGGGGATTTTAGCCCAAAGAGCTCAATCATTCACTAAATTTTGCTGGGGTACAAGCTACACACTATATTGAACTGTGAGGTGGGTCCCCTTGCAGGGGAAGAAGATGATGCCTGGATAATGCACTCAGGTTCTGAGAGTCCTCCAATGCCATCCAATAATTCCTGGGTTAACATTTTCTGGCTGTTATCTCTACTCATTTCCATTATGTTTCCGGTGTACTGGAAGCTACATGCTACTTTCTGTATACCTAGCCACAGTGTTTAGTGTCTCATATATTCTTCTCTATTTTTATATTGTTCAATTCATCTTTCTTGAATAGCCCCAAAATATGCCATCTCAGCATGCTACCAGTTGGTCATAGAGTTCTGCTACTCTGTGAGTACACCAGAGAATATGATTTGGAGAGAAGCACCCGAAATCAGCATCAACACAAGAGCATCTTCAAAACATGGACAAAAGGAGGGGGTCATGCAGAGAGCTGTCTAGCATCAGAACTTAATTAAAAACCTCACAAGCATCTACCACAAGGCAAAGAATGACAACGGAAAGACTAGTAATCCCTCAACTACCTGCAACTAATATAAGGAGATTGACTGGGTACAGCCTCGATTGTCATCAAGCATGACAGGCTTTTGTGGCAGAACAGTCTGATTTGTTGACAGGAGCCAAGGAGAAGGGATGGCACTGGAAAAGATACTATGATGTCCTATGGGGTTGTTGAAGCTTCAGTGATGAGCAGAAGCCATATCATTTCACCTGCTTCCTTTCCTTCCCATACTCTTACCCTTTGTGATCCAAGATTTATGTCAAGGAATGGGAAATGTTTTTAAACATGCACCTGTTGATCTATTCAAGCTATTTTAGAATGGATTTCTGGAGGGAGAAAAAGCATCAGAGCTGAGAGTACTGGTTTAGCAAGCGTGTGCGCCTATTTCTGCATAAACTAGTCTTTTTATAACTATGTCATGACAGTATCCCATCAGACAGTTACAAAGATATAGCATTGTCTTAGACAGCCCCTGGGACTTACAATGCAGACTGTACTAAGTGGAAAAAGTCTTTTGGTAGCAGCAGTATTTGGCTTCCCAGTGCCCTTGATTCACAATTTGCTAAGTACAGGAGAGGAACCCAGGGAGACAGGTATTTCCTTTGTTAGTAAAATTCCTGACTGTAGTTCATTATCTTAATTTGCACCCAGATTTTCCATGCTCCTGGGTGAGGAATGGTTGAGAATTTTTGACAGAAGGGAAACTCAAGATAGTCTCTGGCTGAGATTCCTAAGTAAGATACAGTTTCCAGTGGGTTTCCCTATACCTCTCTAAGCCTTTCCATTCATTGATACCCTCAGCAGTCTACAGGTGCTGAAATACCTCCTTTGAACAGACAGATGATCTTATGCCAGTTCCTGGAAATCTATCCTATCTTCCATTCAAAGATCTCCAGTAAAATAACATCCTCTGAGGTTTTCTAGGCCTGACTTAGGGTTAAAACCAACAACACTTAACAAATGCAACATCTGATTGCCCTAGCCCCTCTCCTCTCCCCTCCCCTCCCCTCCCACTCCAATGAGATCCCAACCTTTTTTTTTTTTTAATTAATTAAATCTGAAAAAAGTGCCACAGTATGTCTGTGGTGAAGAACCAGGGTTTCAGGAGCTTCTGAACGCATCCATGGACAGAGAAGAAATAAAGGCAAACCGAGAAGATAAAGCTATTCCCTTCTACATTCTGCACTATGAAAAGGCCACTAATTTATATCTGATTTCTTATAATAGACAAAAGTATGCTTTCATTATTTTGGCTGGGCTTTCCAGCTCAGATGAGCTGAGACCCAGACCCCAGCATGTAAGTAAGAGGGCAGTGAACCAGTAGGGCAAAAATGAAATGGTTTGGGGATGACTTGCTGCAAGAAACGCACAATGACTTGCATTCAGGTTAAGCCTGTCTACATACCAAGAAAAGGAGGAAAGGGATAGGGAATGAGAAGAAAAGGAAGCAGAACAGGGAAAGGGAGGACAAAGTCTTGCAGTGCCAGTTCTTTGAGGGAAGATGAGGGAGCAAGACCCAGAACATCAGAGAGAGCTGTTTGTGTGGCTGTTTACCAAAACCTGAAAACCCCAGTTCCAGCACCATCTTCTGAACCTGCTACCACACCATCCCATGGATGTGGGTACAATGCCCCACTTCCACAGTACCATATTTTGTAGCCTATGTCCCCACTGGAAAGTTTGGGGGTTGGGTGGGCTGTGAACCAATCCATAAATCCCTGGAGTGGCAAGATGCTCTCTCGACATTCTACACCCCATGCAGTGGCAGGGAGAGGAGAAGTGGCAGGCTGCAGAGCTCAAGCAAGACCCATTACCAGTGAGATTGCACTGGATGTTACTGGATGCACTGGATGCTCCATTTATGCCCCTTCATACAATATTCTGTTTTTATTGCTGTTTGCACACTTTACTCACTAGCAGCTGAGATGCTTGTAATGGTTTTCCATACAGCATGTGTTATTTTAATGCCTTATTATTTCTTAATAAATTGATTGTGTTGTGGAATACTTTAGTGCGTGGGTGCTTAGGAAAAAAGAAAAGGTCACGAAGATGTACACAGAGCTTTTAATAAAGTGTAAAACTCAGTTATAACTACAAAAAAGCAAGAGCAAATAACCTGATGCTTTGTACCACAGTACATAGCATCTCATTCCTACAGCACTACATCACATGTCCTCATATGCATTATTCTGCAGCTCAAGGATGCCAGGTCACAAAGCACGTTTCACTTCTCTTGGTCATGTGAACCTGTCCCTAGTGAAAAAAGTACATGTTATGATTGCCTGCAGACCAACAATTTTTGGAGCCCCCTCCTGGAGGAAACATCTATTCTTATTCTCAGAGATGTGTCCCAGGGCTCAGCCTGCCACAACAATATGAATGGCATTGGGCAGATGGACATTCTGAAGGATTTGTAAGCATTGCCATCATGCCCTCAGCTTACCAAATGCACACTCCAGCACCCAGAGGTGCCAGTCCAGATCAATTACAGCAAGCATTAGCTATTTCCATTCTGCCAGCAGCATCCAGACTACAAGGCCTCCTAACCAAGACTTGCTGCTGCTTGCTGAAGATCACAGACCACTACTGAAATGGTCTTCATCATGCTCTTTTGTCTGCACTGTTACTGCACCGAGAGGTAAAGCAGACCCATTGCTGCTAGTTCCATGCTTTAGCATGAGCATAGTCAGAGTGGACAGAAGCACCTAATCAGTGTAGAAGTGGTTTAATGGATGAGTCAAGGATATCTGAGTAGTATAGATTTTGGCTGCGGGTTCAATGTACCCAGATGTCCAGACCCAGGTAAGCTATTGAAGACATACCTGTAGAGTCCCTTTTTCTGGGGTGATGTTGGCAGTCCTCTCTCTCATTGCTTGTAGAGGTAGTTAACAA